GTTCAGCCTGTGAGCTATAGTTTGCTGACCCCTGACCTAAAAAGTAGGCTTTACTCCAACTGCACTTTTAGCACTTTGAGAACCAGTTGCAAAGGGTACCAAGAATTCTCTTGTGGTGCCTCCAGGAACTTCTGCTAGAAACACAGGATTTGGTCCATATCTGACATTAGAACAAGACTTGAGGGCAAATAAACATTGAATCAGAATGAATCATAGAAAATGATTAGAATAATACTTGATGTTCATGATAATTGTGGTATAAGATAGTTTTAAGTATGTTTTAAATATTTGTCTGCTGTAGTCTCTTTGCTGTATATGCTGAGATTTTTGTATCCCATTTAGTATTTTTATAGTCTAGGAAAATATTTTCTAAGGCCAGTTTTAGATGTGCTCTATTCCTATGTAATATTCAATTTACTGCACCTGTGTGGTGGTTAGAAGGAGTCGGAAGCTGAATTCAGGCACTTTCTTCCAATAAAACTAATGATGGCTCATTCCCTTTGACAAGCTGTAGATTTGGATCAATTTTTAAACCATTTTCATCAGTTTCAAATGGTAAACTCTAATTGATTTTTAAATAAGTTTTGGAAGAACTTTGTTACTAGATAGTTAAATAATCTTTATAACGTATTTTATATATTAGAAGCAATTATAATTAAATCTGTGATTTTGGAACTAAAATGGTGCTAGTTCTGTGTGAAGAAATGTAAAATGCAAGTGAGACGCTCCAGCGTCATTGGCATTCCAGCCTTGTCTCTTTTTGTCCAGTGTCGCATTTGAATACATCTGTTTCGATTAATAAATTTTGGAAGAATACTCAGATGTACAATTAATGGTTTGTCCCTATAAGTCATTCTAGTTCTTTTCAAGTGAGTTCCAATAGTTTTTAAATTTATCTTTTTTTAAGAAAATAAATAAAGCGTTTTAAATTAGAAAACTCTACAGTACTCATGGGGAAAGGAGGGCCAGGCCCCCTGGCCCAGCAGGGATGACGGAGGGACCACAGAGGGGCCACAGCTTCCTTCTCTGACAGCAGCATCGGGGCTCAGTGAGCCTGGGGAAGGTGTCATGGCTGGTGGCCTTGGACAGGGTTAAAATTTATCTTAACTGCTTCTTTTGCGGCTGAAAATCATGCATTGTCTCTCACGTATTTTAAGCCTAATCAGTTTTTTTTGCTCCTACTCACAATATATCTGAATTAGAACTGCAAAACACAGCTTGAAGATTTAAAAATAAAAGTGAATCAGAAGATGTTTTAAAAATCAACTTGCAACATCAGTTGGTAAAGGTAAATATTTTTGGATAAGAGCCAACATTAAATGTACAGACGTAGGTTTTGCCTCCCAAGACATCAGGTACACAGAGCATTAAAATATCTTCCTCAGTATCGAGTCCTGAGACATTTCATTCTATAAACAAACACTGAGCACTGAGCTGAGGTGAATGGACTTAGTCCTCGGTTTCCGGGCAGTGGTCTTAGTGGCTTGGTTCCTGGTGGGGGTGGTGCATACATGCGCATCTTCAGCTTTCTGGGTCTTATGATTAAAATTAATACATGCGCACTGGAAAACAGTTAAACGATAGGAAAACAACTTCAGAAGTGAAGTTCTCCTCTAATCCCACCTCCAGAGAGAACACCGTGAGCTGTTTGAGATATTCTTCCAGAAATTTCCCACGCAGATGCAGAAATACAGTGTAGGAGCCAGCCCCGTGGCCAAGTGGTTAAGTTCGCCCGCTCCGCTTCAGCAGCCTGAGGTTTTGCCGGTTCAGATCCAGGGCGCAGACATAGCACCACTCATCAAGCCACGCTGAGGCGGCATCCCGCATAGCACAACCAGAAGGATCTACAACTAGAAAACTAGAATATACAGCTATGTGCTGGGGGACTTTGGGGAGAAGAAGGGAAAAAAAGTTTGGCAACAGATGTTAGCTTAGGTGCCAATCTTTTAAAAAAAAATACAGTGTATGTGCAAATTTTTAATAGAAACAAGATGATTTTATATATTTCTGTGACTTGCTTCCCTTTAAAATATATATATTTATTTTATTTATTTATGTTTTTGAGGAAGCCTGGCCCTGAGCTAACATCTGTGCCCATCTTCCTCTACTTTATATGTGGGGTGCCTGCCACAGCATGGCTTGATAAGCAGTGCATAGGTCTGCACCCTGGATCCGAACCAGTGAACCCCGGGCTGCCAAAATGGAGGCATGCTAACTTAACCGCTGAGCCACTGGGCTGGCCCCTATATTTCATTCGTTTCCTTTAACAATACATCTTAGACATATTTCTTATTAACTTGCTTCCCTTAACAGCATGTCTTAGAGATATTTCCACATTGAGATAGATAGCTTTTTAAAAAATTTTTTTGGTGAGGAAGATCGTCTCTGAGCTAACATCTGTGCCAATCTTCCTCTATTTTTTGTATATGGGACGCCACCACAGCATGGCTTGATGAGTGGTGTGTAGGTCCACGCCCAGGATCCGAACCTGTGAACCCCAGGCCGCCAAAGTGCAGTGTGTGAACTTAACCTCTGTGCCACCAGGCCAGCCCCCAATAGATAGCTCTTTTTATAGTCACCACATATTTCATGATATAAATGAGACATATTTTTTTAAATCTCACTAAATGAATGAAATTGACACTTAAAAGCAAGGTACTAAGATGGAAACACAAGACTTCAAGGTTCACAGAACAAGGCAGAGGCCAGCAGTCGGATGTGTGATTTTCTAGCCCATCTGAGCAGTTAGCCGTTTTCCGGTATAGCTGCAGGTATTAACATGAGTGGAGTATTCTTCCTCTAATTTCCCTTTAAACAGAAGTGACGAACTTGGGCTAATATTGCTGTTAAGCCTATTTGAGGGTATTTGTAGGTATAGGAGAATTAGACTTTTGAAAGATTTGTGTTTCCTTTCTCTAGAACTTAAAAACACTGATGCAGGAGAGACAGGGATGCATGCTCTGTTCCTCTGAATCCTCAGGAAGCCTCTGAACAGCTTGAGCCGCCCAGGCGAGTGGGGGTGTACCCTACTGCGTTTAAACACAACCACAGGCAGAGAGCAGAGAACGGCGGGGGCTTACACTGCAGTTCTGGCTTTGAGGGTGGCTAGCACAGAGTTCTGGTCGTTGCTCAAGGCCACTGAACTGAATGTTGGGGTCGTACCCCTGTTTATTGCCTGCCCAGTGGCCAGCTCAAATGAGTCATAATAGCTTCGGCTTAAGGGGAACCGGCTGAATTCATCAGCGTGCCTGGTCAGGCCTTCTGGCCTCTGAAGCCCAGCTGCCAGCTGAGACGCCTTGATGAAGAGAAGGTATCCCTGAGGGGCTGGCACGCTCCTCCCAGAACTGCAGAGCCCCTCAGCAGAGGGATGGCCTGAGGCCTGGCTTCTGGATAACTCTGTCAATAGTAAAGGCACCAGTTTTGGGTCATGCTTCCGTCAAGGGGCCCCACAAGCATTTCTTTATCAATCTAAACAGCCCTCTGAGGAAGGGCCCATTACCGCTATTACAAATGAGGAGACAGGCTCAGGGGTGAAGTCACTTTCCCAAAGGAAGGGTCACAGCCCCGAGTCTGACCCCAGGTTACGCGACACAGGTGAACTTCACAGCCATGTACTGTGGGACACACCATGGAAAAGGCTTTTCCTACACTAATTTAATTTAATCCTCCCGATAGCCCTACAAGATACTATATTTGCTGGCGAATATCAAGAAGTACTAAAACATAGTGGGGTCACGGCAGTTTAATTTAAATCTAAATGGTTAGGAGAATATTCCGACTTGGCCTCTAACCATCTGCGGTTGCTATTTTTGTTAAGATAAAACCACTTATAGAATCTAAAACTGATTTTCGCAGTGAAGTTATGTTTTATTCAGCCACTAGGAGGCAGCATCAAATAGAATTTTTAGCCTTCAGGGCCCAGTCTTCCATCCGTAAAGGAGGTAGGGTGTTTGGGGATGTGTTTTAATGGGGTGACCAGCTGTCCCTGTTTGTCTGGGATTTCAGTGCTAAAACCGAGCAAGTCCAGGCAAACTGGAACAAGTTGGCTACCCTAGTGTTACATGAGACATGTGCCAGGTAGTCCTGTCGTTCCCATTTTACAGAAACAGGAAGCCGGGTGGAGTGACTCCTCCGAGGTTCCACATAGCTAGCTGGTATGCACAGAGCTGGGACCCAGAGGTGTCGTTCATTTAACTTGAAGGACCCTGTTCTTAAGACAGGATATGATAATGCCTCTGTGAACCATTTAGAACTGTTTGGTTACATACAACAGAAACCTGATCACAGTGGTTAAGCAGATACAGCCTTTCATTTTCTCTAACGGCTCCACCACGTCATCAGGAGCCCAGACTGCTATTTACATCTTACTAGCCACAGTGCGGTCGCTGGCCCACCTCCACTGCAAAGGAGTCTAGGAAAGTGAGTATTTTTATTGGGCACACTGCTGTCTCAAACAATCAGGCACCTCTTAATAAGGAAGAAGGGGTGAGTGGACACTGGGTGGAGAGCTAGCAGTAACCGCCACATCCTCCAGAGCCACCCATTAGAACTGAAGGTGTGGTGGGCACTGCTCCACCCAGAGCCCCCACTTCACTTCTTTCCCCGTGGCCGGGAATGTGCGGGCTGGCAGTGCCTCCTTCTCAGGGCAGCCACATCCAATGACTGGACAGGGCAGGGATTTAAAGCCTGAGGACAACCCTGAAGGGCCACTCTAGGTCCAGTGCTCCCCACAGGGTCAGTTGAGGCCTTGTGACTGCATCGCAGTCCACGTCTGCCTCATCCTGCTTCCTTCCCTTCCATCACAGTGTTGACCCCAAGAACCCACCCCAATAAACTTCCTGCATACATAACTGTCTCAGAGTGGCTTCCTGGGCACCGACCTGCTATGGGAAGCAAGCAAACCCTAGGGGCTGAGGCCTCTGCTGGTCTGGGCAGTAACGCTGGAGTCGTTTATTTGAAAGGGATAATGTGTCTATTGATCACAGACTTCTATCACTGCCTTTGAGAGGCTCACCATTTTACTGTGGAAGGGAAGTAAGCACACACGAAGCAGCAGGAGAAACTTGGTCCCAGACAGTCCCAAGCTGATTACACAGGGCTGTTCCACCAAGACAGCATTTACTGACGCACACCAGGGCCTGGGCACCGGGCTCGGCACTCAGCTGACATGGTCTCTGTGTCTCACCGTATGAGTTGGCATTTACTGCCTCTGTGTTACAGGTGAGGAAACAGGTTCAGAGGCGGACATCTGCCAGGATCAGAGAGTCAGTAGTAAGCAGCCAACACAGGTGTGCAACGGGGTCATCCTAGACGACAAAGCTGCTCCAGCTCCCTCAGCATCCTGCTTCCTCTACCCTCACTCCGTTCCCCTCACACAGACGAATGCGTAACAGGCAAGAGTCTACCCTTCTCCAAGGAAGGTTCTCGATAGACGATCATGTTTTTGCTCCTTTTGATTCTTCTTCCCATTTTTTTGTAATGCAGCATTTCCAAGAAAGTAAGATCATCTTATAACGGGTTGTTTTAGGCTGGGTCCCTCTGAAAGCAGAGTCTGAGGAAAAAATACCTCAGTGTAGGTGTTTATTAGGGAATGTGGTCCCAAGGAGCAGAAGTGAAGGACAGGGAGGCTGGGCTGGGGGGGCACAGTGAGGATGCACGCTGAGCTGACTGCCGTGACTGGGGGCTCCAGCCCACGGGACCCCGAGAAGCCATATGAAATGTGTCTCCCAAGTGTTCACCTGGGGAAGAGGGGGAAACCTTTATCCCCCGGCTCCACCCACAGCTGGGTCCTCTGTGCTTCTGGGTTGACCATGCATGAGAGCCCGGCGGGCTCACCTGGGCACTCCGGCATCCGAGGAGCCCCCGGGCAGGAAGCCACAGAATGAGATGCTGTCAGCTCCAAGCCTGCCTGGACCTGGTCGCCAAACAGTGGCTGGGAAGACATGAAGCGGAGAAGATTGGAAGGGGGGCGGGGGTGTGTTGGATGTGAGGATGACCCAGCGTTCCCTGAGTGCTGCCACGCGCCAAGCACTGTGCTTTGTACGCATACCCCTGTTTCAGCCTCACAGCAGCCCTGCAGCTTAGAAATCCTCCATATTATCTCCCATTTTTAAGACGGGGAAAACTGAGAGGCGAGGGCATTTGCTAAGGCCTCAGAGGCAGGAAGTGGCAGAACTGGGAGTCAGAGCAGCTTGACCGCAGAGCCCTTGCTCGTGGTCAGCACCCACTGAAGTAAGCATTTCTCACGGGTCCCACCCGAAGTCTGCAGCGGGGCTCACTGACACAGACTAATCACAGACTCAGCATTTCTCTCTGACCTATGTGGACTACACATTTGTGTCGGCGCAAATCAAATCACCCCACTCCTTGTGAAAACCCCTGGCCCTCCACTGCCTTCTAGAGAACACGCAAGCTCCCTAAGATGACTCACAGGCCCTTCATGGTCTGGCTCCCACTTACCTCTCCAGCTTTACTACCTGCAGTGGTACAAGGCTGCAGGGCTGTACACGGACTGTAGCTGCTGGCGCATTTCTTGCATGACTGGGAGAGAGAGAAGGGTCTTAGTGTCACCATGGGGGACGTGAGGTTTGCAGAATCTCTGAAGGAGACAGTCCTGTCAGGAGGCCCCGGGCAACTCTTCCTGGGACCTAGCAACCTCCAGTCCTTTCCCTCTTCCCTTTCTCCATCTGTGTCTGGAGTGTGATATCCCAGAAAAGGAAAGAGCTCTGGAGCCACACAGGCCGAGTTCAAAAGCAGTTCTGTATCACTTCCCAGCTGTGAGACCTCAGACACTATATCTAGTCTCTCTAGGTGGTATGTTCCTCACCTGGGAACCGGGAAGACCCCTCCCAGGAGAGAGTGCCCGGAAGGTGCCAGGTACACGGGGCACTCCACATGGCAGCAACCATGACTGCCCCCAAACTACTCTTTCTTTTAACGGCTCTGACTCACCTAACCAGCTGGAACCAGAATATGTCCCTGCCCATTTCTTTAAGCCAGGAAGCCCACCCGGAGGCATTGCATCATGCTCTAGGTACAATGGGGAGATCGAACTCCCTGCACTCACGCACTTCCCTTTGGGAGAGAAAAGAACTCGAAGCTTCTGAGTCCTGCCCTTGTGCCCAATGCGGTATTTGACACCTTATATAACATCTCAATTATTCCCCAAGGGAAATGAAGTCCATTGCTGTCCTTTCCCCATGTTTCCTTCATTCTCTTTAACCTCTATCTTCCTGCTTTAGTTAGAGTGGCTGTCCATTGCAGAAGCGGCAGCTGGCCACCGAGTTCAACAAGGAGGCTTTAGGCCACTGGTCTGACCCCACCCTGGCCCCTAGAGAAGTTGAAGCAGCAGCCCGGGAAGAGAGAGGCATCTCAACAGAGGGCAGATCCTGCCCTCAGTAGGTACCTCAGCGTTGGGGAGCTGCTCCCCTCCATGCTCCTGGGGCAGACAGGTAAGGTGCTCCTCCTCCACCCTCCCTCCCCCGAATTGCCCAGTGCGGCTGTGCCCCTGGCAGCAGTGCCCAGAAAAGCTTTCCTTTCCTCTCCTTTCCTTGTCCCCTCACCAGACGTCACCTCTTTCCCAAAAACTGAAGCTCCATCTGGTGGCCTAGGAGTCAACTCTTCTCTCTACCTGCCCACATTGCCTTGAGGATGTAGCAGTAGAAACACACTCCGTATCTAGATGGTCTCACCCCAACTGCCCTGTTGTCCTACTGATGAACCAGCTGTTTAACATTCTCAACAACTGGCTCCCTGATGGACAGACTGACCATTAAATTGATCTTCTGTCTGATAGATCTTGATGGACCACTGTCCATCTGAAAAATTAATCCTGAGTGACTGACTGGCTAATTGGCTGATTAAGTTTCTAAACCATAAATCATTTGATTGACCTACTGGCTTTCTAACTGACCTACTAACCCTAAATAACATCTGATGAGCTGGAACTGCCTGTCTGGCTGGCTCTTCCACTAACCAGCTGACAGACTGACTGCCCAGCAGAGGACCCGCAAGACTGACAGTCTGGCTCCATGACTAAGGGTAACAGATGGATGGGAGGGGAGGCTGCCCCTTCTTCACGGCCTGACTCCTCTGGGAGATTGGGGCCCTCCTCTTCTCCCCTCTAGAGCCACTTGAAGACCGCAGAGAGGGCAGCTAGGAAACCGACCTTTTCTATCTCTAGTGAGGTTCTTAATCAGGGCCCCCTAGATGGGTTTCAGTTTTGTTTTCAAAATAGTGTGGATATAAAGATGTGTGTTTATCTGGGAAGAGGGGCCACAGCTTTCATTAGATTCTTAAAAGAGCTCAGCACATACAAATATGTTCAGAACTACTGCTTGCTCTGGGAAGATGCTCAGCAAACACATTCACATAAGCAAAGCCCTTACCTGAATTCAAGCCCCATTTCTCCCTCCCATCAGGCCAGGGTGGCAGGAAGAAAACTAGGAGGAGTCAGAGAGTCATGGTGGACATGGATGTAGTAGGAAGGATAAAGGCTGAGCTGTGCCTGAAGTTTCCAGAGAGAAGCCCAAAGAAATCACCGTGTCCTTTTGGCCCAGAGGCCACACTTAGACCAAGATAACAGGGCCTCCTCAGCTCTGGGCAGCGGCTCTTTGAGGTGACATGAAGGATGCATTTATCAGGGCCCTTTCTGGGCAGTGAGTATGTGGTCATGAGGAGCTACGTGGTTGTGTGTATTTACACGCCAGTGCACTCACAGGGTGGGTATAACAGAGCTGCGTGGCTATGCACACGAATGTCCTCTGAGTCAAAGTGTGCATCTGAATAGTTTTGTCCATGGATTTGCACGTGTGCTCACTCATGGACCCCTCAAGTCTTTTTTGGGTTGAGACAGATTCTGAGTAAGAATTTCACTAGGTGAGAATATCTGCATACATGCCAGTAGCCCAAACCAAAAATCTGGAAATCCTCAGCTCCTCCCTCTCCTGAACCGGCATCACCGGCTCAGTCCACACTGCCACTGCCACCGCTGGTTCTCATCACATCTCCCTGGACTACTGCTCCATCTCCAATGCCCTCCCCCTAGCGACTCTTCCGAACCACAGCGGAACTGACCTTAATAAAATGAAATTAGGGCCACAGCGCGCCCCGCCTGAAACTGACAACAGCTCTACACTGTGGGGGGATAAAGCCCATCTCCGCAGTCTAACTCGAGGGTCCTTTCAACGTCGTAGTAGCCCTGCTCACTGGAGACTCTAGGCTCTCAAGGCCCCAGACTTTGGACGCGTCGCCCCTCGGCCAGGTCCTATGCCACACCCCAAGGTTTGGGCTCTGATGCCTCGTCCTCCGGGCCCTAACGCGCTGCCCCTACGTCCTGCATCTCGGAGACTGTCATTGCCCAATTACAATTGGCAATTGTAATTGATGGAGGACCCAAGTCTGTCAGTCACATTCCCCACCCCCCTCCCGCCCCGGGATCCCTTCCCACTGAACGAGGAGCCTGAGCTACCGCAGATCGAAAAACGGCCAGGCACACGTGTACACGTCTGTCTGCCGCGCGGCCGAGCAAAAGGCGGCAGGACGCGAAAACGGAAATGCGCGTGCGCACAGGGAACAGTAGAAACTACGACTCCCAGAATCCTCCTGACCCGGACTCCATTTCCCAGAAAGCTCCTCGGGGTCCTCATCCCGGAACTACGCTTTTTTTCTGAAAGCGGAAGATGGGCGAGCCGGGCAGTAGAGACGCTTTCTGAAGGGGGTAGAACGGTTCGAGGTTTCGCGGACTGTTTACCTCCAGGGGTCGTTCGTGAGTCAGAGAAACCGGGCCTTTGGAGGGAGAGGGCCTGGCGACAGTCCTTCTGCGCTTGGCTGTGCAGCGTTCTGGCTGCTTCTGCCCGGCGCCACGAGGCCCGCCCCGGCGCTACCCTCGCCCTGCCTGCCCCGGCTCTGTCGGCCTGCGGGCGCTGCAGCCTCTCTCCCGCCGCCGGCGTGTCTGGAAATGGAGGCCCATAGCTAGAAGGTCCCGGGTACCCTTTGTTCCCAACCCTGCCTTGCCCGTCTTCCTCTGGGAATTAGTGAGACCTTGGCCCTAAGGGCGTAACCCCCCGTGGCTCCACGTGGGGGTCCCATAGCTCTTCTGCTACTTCCGGCAGTGGCTGAGGGAGTCGAAGCTGTGGGTAGTGAGGACAGGTGTGGACAGTAGCAGGGAGGGGAAGGTCTGTGGTTCCTGACGTGCTGCCTCTGTTCCCAAGAAGATAACTTTCCTATGGCCCTTGCCCTCTGGCTAGTTATGGCCCGTCCACCACGTGTCCTCAAATGCCTGGACTCTGGAGAAAGGCAGCCTCCTTCCTCAGACCCCACGACGCTTGTCGGTCCCACTACCTGTTTTCACCTTTCCCCTCGGAGGCCACCTAGAGCACCTGGCTAGAAATGGGAGCAACTGGTGGGATTGGGATTGAGATAGGGAGTCTGCAGCATTTGGAGGGAAGGAGTGGACTAAGATGGAACTGCAGAACATTTGAGGCACTGAAAGTTACTGGGGCAAAATGGGAGGGTCAGGGAGCAGGGGTGAGGGAGCGAGGGAATGAGACCCATCATCTCTGTATGTCTCAAAAGGAAGAAACTTACGTGTCTCTGAGCAGGCAGATGAGGAACGCATTTTTCAGAGCTCTGGTTCTCTGTGAGACACACAACCCATAGTAATTTAGTTTTGTTCCAAACGTGTTAAGTGAAGTGCACACCTCCCTATTTGTTCCTAAGGAGCTACAGCTACTGGTAACTTCTACAAGACAGGTGCGTGAACTACAGACTTCCCAGCGTTGCCTGGCGCTCTCCCCTCCCTCCCCGCACCTACTACTAGTAATTCGATGTTCCCACATTCCTCTGTGCTAGCTGTGGAGGTTCCTGAGACCCTTTTAGGGGATCTGCAAGGGCAGAACTGTTTCACAATAATACTAAGATTTGTTTACATTTTTCAGTGTATTGACATTTAAACTTAAAGTGACATGGAAAACTGCTAGCACCTTGGCGTGAATCAAGGCAGTGGCATCAAACTATATTTGCAGTTGTATTTTTCACCAAAGCTTTTTAGGGGGGAGGGGGAGCCAGTTTCACTTAAGAATGTTCTTCATGAAGCTGTAAAAAGTATTCATTTTACTCCATTTTGAACCTTGAGTAGAGGTCCTGTTGCTACCCTGTGTGACAGAATGGGAAGTACGCATGAAGCAGGCTTGCTGCATACCAAGGTACTGTGTTTGTCTTGAGGAAAGTGTTGGGAAAGGCAGTCACGTGTGTGCAGTCTTTGAACCGCTGTACAGTCACATAAGAGCATGCCTTGGGTCTGGAACGTTTCCTTACGAAGAGACAAAGAGCTTTCCTGGCCTGTGCTGGGCATATCTTTGTTCGAGAATCTCTGTCCCTGTTCTGGACTTAATGTGTACCTCTTTGTTCTGCTAAAGCCTTTGTGTCATATGGCACCTACCCACCCCTACTGCTGCGCGGGCTCCTGTGGGGAGACACTAGAGCCCTTCATCTGCGGCACAGGCGGAGTGCGTGCAGACCCTGCGTGCTGGCCGCGGGGGACACTCACTGCTGATGCTGGTCTCACCCTGTCTCTTCTCTGTGTGAGGAAAGTGTTGTTCTATCCACTGCCTGTGTGAGTCGAGTCTTTCTTTGCAACCCTAACACCTGCAAACCATGCAGTGGGTTGACATCTTGGGACTGCTGGTCCTCTTGGCAGGTGGTATACTACTTGCTGTCCTCCGTGAGATGGAACTCCTGCCCTGGAAGTAGTAATCGGTGTCACGTGCTCAACAAAAAGCAGTTCTGTGCTTGTGTTGATTTGCTGGCTGAACTAGAATTTTTTTGCAAAAAATGCCTCCTGTACTTGAATGACTGACAGTGTGATTCTTTGGACTTGGATGTTTGGTAGACTTTTCTAGAAAACGAACAAAGTAAGCTTGTCACTTCAAGGGAAGCAATTGACATTATTTGTTGCCAATGATAAAATTTGGTCTTTCAAGCAAAAATTAGAATTTTGAAAAATATATATTTGCCATATATCTTGACAGCTTCCCAGTACTTAAAAGATTCTTCTGATGAGCTTGGTGGTGATATTAGCAAATGTGATTTTTTTATATTGAATAATGAAATGTGTCAACACTTGGGAGATCTGCATAAGCAGCCTATTAGATATCTGTTGTTGCATAACAAATTACTCCTAAACATAGTGATTTAGAATAACAAACACTTATTGTCTCACAGTTTCTGTGTGTCAGGAATTTGGGAGTGGCTTATGCAGATGGTTCTGACGTAGAGTTTCTCCTGCAGTGGCAGTCGAGACATCTGTTGAGGCTGCGGCCATCTGAAGGCTTGACTGGACCTGGAGAATCTGCTTCCAAGAGGTGCACTCACGTGGCTGTTGGCAGGAGGTGTCACTGGACGGACCTCTCCACGGGGCTTTGACGATGCGCACAGCTTGGCAGCCAGCTTCTCCCAGAGCAAGTGATCAGAGAGAGGGAGCAAGATAGAAGCCTCAGTGTCTTTTATGATCTACCCTCAGAAGTCATGCTCTGTAATTTCCACCACGTTCTATTCATTAGAGTGAGTCACATGTACAGGCCACACTCAAAGAGAGGGAAATTAAGCTCCACCTCTTAAAGGGAAGAGTACCGAAGAATACGTGGACATGTTTCAATAACACTACACTTAGTGAACCAATATTTTCCAAATGACTGTGTGATGTTACAATGCCATGATGCACAGATAAAAAATCTATTCTAATTGCAAGATAGCCCCATGGATTTTTAATGTAACAGAGTAGGAAACATTCATTGATGTAGTTTTAGATCCCACATTGCTTCTGACCTTTAAGAAGCTATCATTTGTTGAGTTCTGGTGTAGGATCAGAGAAGAGTATCCACAATTATCTGAAAAGGCTATCAAAATACTCCCCTTATTTCCAACTACGTATCCCTGTGAGGCCAAATTTTTGTCATATACTGACAACAGCATTAGAATAGACCGGAATGCAGAGGCAGATAGGAGAATCCAGCTCTCTTCTGTTAAGCCAGACAGAGATTTGCAAAAATGTACAACAGAGTGGCTCTTCTCACTAATTATTTTTGTTTTAGAAAATGTGTTTTTCTTAAAAAGTGTGTGTGTGTGTGTGTACTAACATGTATTGGATTTATTATTGTAATTTGTAAATGAATTAAATATTTTTAAATTTTCTCAGTTTCTAATATGGTATTATCACTAGATGTAACCCATATAAACGAAGGCTCTTTGGGTCCTCAGTAATTTTTAAGAATGTAAAGGAGTCCTGAGACCACAAAGTTCTGAGATCACTTATCTGAGCAATCGGATGGCTCTGTTACCCTCAAATAATAGTTTAGGGATGGGCATGTGGTGCGACTTTGGCCAATGACATGTGAGGTGAAGGTGTTGTGTTCAGTTTTCAGTTTAGGGTATTAAATAGAAGCGTACATGGGGTCTTCTAAAAGATTGGTCAGGTTCTATTTCTCAAGCTAGGTGATTTATATGTGATATTTACCGGCTTCTTTATCTCTTACATATTAAATTATTTGGGGTGTGAAATATTTTATAACAAAAAACACAGAACACGTGGCAGAGAAGATTCCCCTTCCTCTATGGAAGCATCATGTCTGTTTTGCAGCGTATTCAGCTTGTACATTGGGCCTGAGTCTGCATTGTTTGGCTCTAAAGGATTTTCTGTGCATTTCGTGGCTGAGTCTGTGTCTGCAACATATTTGTGATATTTGACTTGTAACCTGAGAGTCCCCAGACCTCCAGCCACGTATGCAATCTCACTGCATTCACAAGGCTACCAGTTCAAGTCATATAAAGTCCCTCATAAAGAAACCTTCTCTGCTTCTGGCTCAGTCCCTCTCCCTTGTGTCCCCTAGGATCAGGCAGGATACCAACGTCTGTCATACATCACATCATCTGCCAGGTTCTCTCACCTACACCGCCCTAAGAGTAAATATATCTACTGGGACAGCCAGCCCACCAGTTCTGCAAACTGCCACACTCTGAATCCATGTTAGATACCTTTTAGGAACTTGTGAGAGCCCCTCTAAATGGATCCGCACAGTGGGGCCAAAGGCAGGCTCACTGCCCTGTTGTTGAGTGAGTGGACCCTCTTCCTGTGGTCACCTCATGTGGCTCCAGGGTCCCCCACATCACTGAAGGGCCTGGGACTGTGGAACCAAGGTTTCTAGGTTTCTTCTACTACTCTTTTTAATGTAACTTTCTCAGAAATTCATAAATGAATTAGTAAAATTGGAGAATTAATCCAATTAACGAGTTTGAGTGGATGTCTGAACAAAATCTGGGCTTTACCGTCATGGGTGAGGGGAATGACTATTGAGAAGGCACAAAAATGTCTGCTACAGTTGTCTGTATATATGTATATTTTAAATCTTTCCACAATAAAATAGATTGCTTGTGTGATTAGAAAACAAAAGAAAGAAAGGTAATGAATGTGAAGGGAAAGTAGACATATAAAATTAAGAAATGCAGTCACACTTTGAGGTATGTGAGCAGATATGCTGGGAAAGGAAGCAGACGATTTGCTGACACCTAATTCACTGATCAATGCACCATATTCACCTGCTTCTTTTACCTGCTTATAAAATTCATAGCAATTCATACTGGATGAAATTCTTTTAACAGCTTTTGAACGTTTCTTCAAATCTTAGTTGGCCAGTATCCCATTATATCTGCATAACAGCATTTTGAGGAATATTCAGTCTGTCTTACCCTGGTTAGTTAGAAGACAAGGGATATTGAGGAGAAAATATTCATGATATATATAAAAAACTAATAATTCAAACGTATAAATCAGTAAGAAAAAGGCACCCCAATTAAAAAATGGAGAAAGACTATGAACAGGCAATTCACAGGGTCAGAAATACAGTTAACCAAAAACAGAGAGGACAAGATTTTCAACAGTACTGGTAATCAAGAAAATATAAGATACAACAGCAGTAAGATGTTTATTTTCACAACACATATTATCAGACAGTTAAAAAGAGTAACAGGGTTAGCGAAGGTGTATCTGAGGTCAAGCCCATTCATGGAGTTCAACGTTGACGTAAGTGTAAATTGGTACAGTGTTTTGGAGAGGCAGTTGAGCTGTATTTATCACCACTAAAATGCCTGTGTTCTTTGAGGTAGAGTGGGAGCCGGGAAGAGTGGGAGGGGTTGAGGGGTGGAGGTACCGGGAGGGCGTGAAGGACTGGCGTGTAAAGGGAGGGACCTGTAGGACTGGGAGCGATTTGCAAGGCCTGGGATTAATAGGAAGAGAGGAAGAGGACAAAGGCTTGGAGGAACCAAATGGTACTTGAAAGGATTGGGGGAAGTGAGGACAAATGGCAGTGGGAGGATTAAGAGGAATTAGAAACCACTGAAGAAACTCGCTGAGAGGGGCAGGAAGGGCAGGGGGAAGGGGGGCAGGGGGAAGGGGGGCGGGGGGCAGGGGGCACTGGCAGGGACTGCAAAGGCACAATGGAAACAAGTGGCTTTCAGTGAACTGACCAAGAGCCGCCGTGGCAAACAGGACCAGTTAATGTTGAGCAAGGCCCCTGTGGGAGAAGGAGGTTTGCTAGCAAACAGGAAACCCTGGCTTTCAGAGCGCTACTAGCTGTGCCTTGCAGAGTTCTTTGACTTCCTCTGTTTTGGCTCTGTTGTTACATTGAAGTTTGCTTCTAAAAGCCACCTGAGATGTCTGAAGACTCTGATGGTCAATGGCTTGTATCTTCCCATGTGATCCTAAGGTGCAAAATGGACATTTCAGTTCCCTCTAATAGAAACTTCCTTTGTCACTCTTAAAACAGGGAGATGGCCCAAATGCTGGGAGGGCATGAATGGAGGCTCTTTACATCCGAGTGCAGGTGTGTCTAAGGGGTGCAGATCCCAAGATGCCCACTCTCTCTTGGTTTGAGGCAGGCACTCCTTTGGGAAGGAGAGGGCCCTACTCTCACCGGCTCTCTGAGATTCATGCCGTTTTCCACACAGTGAATCACAGGGCAACCAGATAGCAAGAATCTGCAGAGGGGGGCTATTATGGGCTGAATTGTGTCCCCTAAAATTCATATGTTGAAATGCTAGCATCACGTACTTTAAAATGTGACTGTATTTGGAGACAGGACCTTTAAAAAAAAAGTGATTAAGTTAAAATGAGGCCATTAGTGTGGGCCCTATTCCAATCTGGCTCGTCTCCTTATAAGAAGGTAAATTTGGACACACAAAAGACACCCCAGGGATGTACACACACAGAGAAAAAGCCATGTGAAGACACAGCAAGTGGGCAGCCATCTGCAAGCCAAGGAGAGAGGCCTCAGAGGACACCAACCCTGCTGGCACCTTGATCTTGGCCTTCCAGTCTCCAGAACTGTGAGAAAATTAATTTCTGTTGTTTAAATCACCCAGTCTTTGGTATTTTGTTATTCCAGCCTTAGAAACTTTCAGGTCTAAAGGCTCAAGGACCTGGGAAAATACAAATAAATTCAAGTCTTCCTGCTAACTTTTGCTGGGACCTATTTGGAGGCTTCCTTTGAGTGTGGAGGAAGCCCCTGCTGCGCTCTCATACACATTTGTCTCCTTTGTTCTGGAAGCGTGGAGCTTGCTTTTACACTGCCCTAAAAGCTCGCAGGTTGAGCCAGTTACCAGTCATAAGTTGGTAAAGGAAAATAAGGGTGTCTGGCCGATCAGTGTGGGTCTCTCAGGTACCATGTCTTCTATCTAACTCTGCTCAAGGATTTAGTCCTTGGCTTTGTAGATTCAAAAGCTTTTTCAGTTCAGGTCTGAGTGATTTCCACACTGGTTCTAAAAATTAACTGGAATTTCAGTTTAGTAATGAGAGCTATATTTGCCAAGAAAACTGCAATGTTCGTAGTAAACTAGTCCTAAACCATCTTTTCCCATTAAGAAGAGCGAAGTGGAGACAAAAAGAAATACCACCATGGAAAGACCCTTGTTCGTCAGAACTCCACCGAAAGGTCACTGCCTGGGATATGCTTTTCCCGACCTTCCCGGGAAGTATTGGATTGCCCCTGCTCTTAGCTCCCAAGGAACTTTGTATCGGCAACCCCAGCTTGTAGAGTTTTAATTAGGTGTTTATAAGCCGGCATTTCCCACTAGACTGTGATCTCCAAGAGAAAAGAGATTGTGTCTTGTCTATTGGTTTTTCTTCATTGGTATCTGGACCACAGAATGTGCTCAGACCAACCAACCAGGAGAATAAATGAATTAGTTACACTTTGAGGTCACATGTCTCTTCGATGGGATCGGCCTTCCAAATAGACCAGGAGACGGGTCAGTCATCTCCCTGCCTGCACTGTGTTGGACTTGCAGTGACAACAGCTTCCTTCTCAGCTTCTGCTTCTCTAGTCTCTTCAAGGATTGTCACCCTTCCGCAAGTAGTTGTCTGTCTTACAGCCTTCTGTTTTGTTTGAATTTACAAATGGTCTTTTTCCTGAGTTTATTTACAAAGAGATCCCTAACTCTCACCATTAAACTATCTCCAAACCACAGCATAGAATGAATTATTTCTGGGAGAGTCTTCTAGAAGCAGCATGTCCCTTATAGACTGGGACCCCTATGAACTGCCTCCTGACCCGGTCTCCAGACATTTAACCCATCTCACTTTTGGGTTCGCTCACCTCTGTCCTCTGACTGCTCTCCTAGGCACTCTGACCAGGCTGTCACACTCCACACTCCAATTCTTCAGGGCTGGGTTAGGAATTTGAATGGGATAGTGTAGATTGATGGGTATCAGTTAAGCAAAGGACATTGGATAAACACTGAGGCTAGGAAATCCAGAAACTTGAACTCAGGTTTTTTTTTAAAGATTTTATTTTTTCTGTTTTCTCCCCAAAGCCCCCCGGTACATAGTTGTATATTCTTCATTGTGGGTCCTTCTAGTTGTGGCATGTGGGACGCTGCCTCAGAATGGCTTGATGAGCAGTGCCATGTCCGCACCCAGGATCTGAACCAACGAAACACTGGGCCGCCTGCAGCAGAGCATGTGAACTTAACCACTCGGCCACGGGGCCAGCCCTTGAACTCAGTTTTGAGAGGTCAAAAAAAGTGAAAAAACTCAGAAACTCAAGAAGCTGATTCTTAGCCAATTGCAGAACAGGCAAGAGTCTCATGTTCCCTGGAGGGCAGGACTGGAGGCCTGGGTATGGATGAGCCTGAGCATGAAGGCA